TTTTACTTCCCGTTCTCCTCTGCCTTTTTCGTTCTTTCTTCCTATTATTTCTTTCCCTTTTTCTGGTTCGTCTTCTTTTTGTTGCTTTCACTTTCTAATCTGTTCTTCTTCCTAGTTGTTTCTCTTAGTCCCTTTGGTCCTTTGACCCTCCGCTTTCCTTTGATTTTTTGTTTTGCCCCCCCCCCCTTTTCGTTTTGTATTTGATATTTTTTCGTTCCTTGATTTTTATTGCCTCTTTTCCGGGTTCTTGACTATTTTGGTTTGTCTCGAGTCTTTTGTTCGTTTCTTCCCCCCCCTCTTTTCTGCTTTTTCTGTTCTTTTATCTCTTCTTTCTTTTCTTGTTTCGTTCTTTTTCTTTTTTTTTGCTTTCTATGTACGTCGCTGATTATGGTTTCTCTTTTCTAGTGAACCCTTCTTGTTTCTTTCAGCTATTGTGTTTTTTTCTTTTTGATCTTTGTTTTTTCTTTAACTGTTTGTGTTAGTTTTCTTCTTACGGTGTCTATCGTGTTTTTTAGTCGTTAGCATTTTTTCCCTGTTTGTTCTCTTAGGCCTTTTTTATCTGTGTTTATTTCTTTTCTTTCTTAGATTCCCTTTCCACTTTCATTCTATCTTTTCCCCTTGGTTTTTTGTTTTTTTTTTATGTTTTATGTCTTTTTTTTTTGTGTAAGTTGGGTGTGTTATTCGCCCCTCTTCTTTGTCTTTAATGCCTCTGCGGTAGTTTTCCCTAGTTCCTCTTTTGCTGTGTTTGCCTATTCTGAAAAAACAGTGCGCCCTTGCTTGTGTTTGAACGTGTTCGCTGTGCTCAAGTGATCTTTGACTTCCGTTGATTTGAAACGACTGTACGAATAAGCAAGAGGCGGTGGCGGGTCGCAACCTTCACGTCACAGTTTTGTTAAAAGGAGAACACTTGCCGAGCAAAAATCCGCCGCCTGGAATACTGTCGCCAAACTATTTGCTGAAAGAGGTAAGCCCGAATCACTTAGGTTGCACCACGAGGAAGTTTTTCGGATAGCCAGTCGCTGAACTGCAAACAAACGAACACTAACAAAAAAACATTACGTGTTCTAAACTGCTCCTAGAGTGCACCAAACAAGTGTCTCTTTCCACTCACGGTACACCGACTTCCTCAAAATTTTCGCTACTACAGAAACCGGTAAAATATGCCCTGGTATTGTTGCGATTCGTGAAAGTCTTCAACTTTATATTCATTCTTCTGCATATTTGATTACACAAAGTTTTTTCGCATATTGTCTTATTGCATCGACGATAAACGCAAACATAGCAGCCCTACTTCATTAACCTTATTTTACGATTCTAGAGATTGAACCCAATTTCAAACTTCTCGTTACTTAGGTTCTTAACAGTCGTGTATCAGTGATTTAGGCGGCTGTCTCTTCGTAATATTACATATTAAGCGATGCGGCTCCACAAATGATAGATGGGTTGAAAGGAGCTTAATGAGGAGTATGACCACGGCAAGCGAACACTCAATACCAATTCACCTACAGCACAGGAGTAACACGCATTCTCGAACAGCTCATTGACATGCAGAGATGCGGTGGAACAAGCGAGAACCCTTCTCCTACACTGCTGAGCGTGATAGCCTTGTTCAACAGTTAACCGCGCACCATGTGCACATTAGCAATACAGCCGGGAGGGAGACGATGGCGTTACATCCAAGGCTTACCAGTTGCGAGCGACTGTACCAGGTCAACGGATGAGCCTGGTATCCTTCTTTTCATCCCATTGTCCGATTACGCCATGTCCATCAAACATGAACAAGCAGCGTTAAGCAATGCGAAAGATCGTTTCTATTCTCAGATATCGCCGATAAAATGTGGTTGATAACTCTTGAAATTTCTTTCATTTCTCAGTATTAACAAGCTATGTTATACATTCGTTGGACAGACCACTATTTTTCTAGTCACTAAGCTCTTCCTCCGCCACTTTGGTGGTTCGTTACAGGTCTCCTCAGTAGGCGACAGCTCAGCTCATTTGATGGATGCCATTGCTCATTGCGAACGGTACGCTGCGGAGAAAGGATCACCGGGAGCTCATTGGCAGCTCTACTTTCGCAAAGAACTCTTCGTTCCTTGGCACGATGTATCACTGGATCCGGTTTCAACGCGGCTCATATTCCAGCAGGTTGTTTTAGGAGTGGTTAATGGCGAGTACCGATGTGATAAGGTCAGTGAATTCCCAACCCTGCTCATACACATGCACCAGTGGCGTTCTGCCGTCGGTCGAACCGAAAATCTATCGATGAGCATGGTAAAATAAGAACAAGGGCTCTTTGCAATTAACTTAATCAAATCGGTCTGTATCACTCTTTTACGATAGGCGATATACACTTATCTTTGCATGCGTTTGTTTATTCATTCTTACCGTTCGCATTTGATCGGGCTTTAGGCGAGCTCTACCTGTATTCAATTGGCCATTGAGTCTCTCGTGGTATGTGAACCGATACAATATGCAAACATCTAAGCTAAGAAACTCGTGAGATAGTTTGCTCGTCAGCTATTTATTCCGGTGAAGCGGAACTTCATAGAAGACGGTGTGGACAAATTTATCTACCATGAAAGCTGTATTACTGCTGATGGCACTAATGGGAAAGAGGTATCTCATCGCACGGACAGAGACCTGTAGGCATTAGCCAACCTGAATCATTTGTGGCGTCGTGGAGAGATATTCCTTTCCTTACAGGTGAGGGTCTACAACGCGTGTCCTCGCGGCCCTCTTGTAAGGAAGTGAAGTCCGGTGTCTCGTCCTGGTGAACATGAACCCTCTGCTTGATCGCCTTATCGCAATGCGTCAATTGAGGTGGCTTGGCCACCTTCTACGTATGTCATACGAGCGCTTATCACGCCGCGCCTTATTTGCTCGCGCAGGATTGAGTTGAAGATAACGCGTGGAGGTCAGCCAACCACTTGACGGCAAACCATGAAATCGCTGACCTCCTGTCTCGCAATCGTCGGCCTAGTACATCTTCCTAGTTGGTGCCCCAAGGATGAGGAATGTAAATGGCCAGACACATTTGTCGATATGGGGCGAAACAATACGGTTAAAACTATGGCATTCAAAATGCAAAAAATGAACAAGGTGTCGTGTGAAAGCAAACAACATAAACAAAAAGCCAAAAAGCCCAATAATATTTGTTTTCCGTTTCTGATATGTATACTCTTTTATATATTGTTCCTTATAGTTGTCCGACGGCTAAGTGTCTATATATAGACTGTTGCATATATATATATATATATATATATATATAGAGAGAGAGAGCAGATGGTGACCTCGGAAGCTGTGCACGTGTAATTGCACACTTAAGCATTATGAAATGGGGCTTTTCTTCCCCTACCTAGACCGAGGTGAGCAAGCAGGCTTGAGGTAACCTAGTCAGTTGTAGTCAGCAGCGAACACCTGCCTAACTAGTACGGTTTTTATACTGTTCCGATACCGCATTTGTGTGTGATATTCTATTACATGTATGCTTACTAGCCAACTACTAGCCAAATACACCTACGGTGGAGGGTATCGAGAGAAAGAAAGAGGTTATCGATTGGCTGTCAATCAGTGCACTTGGCACTAACACAGTGGCCTCAGAGGCACAGTCAGCTGTTCATGCACCCGACGTTGTGACCCATGGAGAACAGTGAAAATGGCATCTAGTAACCTGAGCATGTGGGGTATCTGTTGGCGTATCATTAGGGCTGACTTCGTGACAGGTGCTCAGCGAACGCCTTGTGATTGCCAAGGCAACAGGGGTCCTAGAATCACCCGATTCCGTTGTAACATAACCCGTTTGGCTGCGTGAACATTTTAGAATAAGCTCATCGATTCTGACATCTAAATATCGATGTGTTCCACATAGCTATCTCCACAGCTATAGGTGAACCTATGTGACCGCTTGTCGTCGGTGTCATAATCGAACGCTGAATCGCTTCGCATTTGATCTAGTGTCCGCTCACATGGGTTACGGTGGTTATCTTAATTGTACATGATGCATTTTGTATCCGAAGCACTAAAATTGTAGTTCTAGCAAAAAGTTGCATCTTGCCACTATCATTGTCCCTAATTTTTACTGATTGCAACCTTGCGGATGACAGTCACCTCGGTTTTTCTGACAACTTGGCACAACTGAAGTGAATGCTTCTCTCATGGCTCCCCAAAACCCCCATACTGCGAAGAACTTGGCATTCAACCACACCGTTTTAAACTAACTAGCATCCCTGAAGGTGAATTCAACCAGCTGTGCGAAGCAAAGTAATTCCGGAACAAGCGACATTGTTTCAGAGGTGAATAGTAAACTAGCGGAAGTACAGTGAGCTAATCATGCTTAAACAACAAGTTCCCATTTCGAGTCGGTGACACAATACCTGGCCTCACTGTCACACAAAATGAAAGTGCTTTCTAATCCCTGTCCGCCGCGCATATTACATGCGAATAACTTAACAAATTAGCTGCTCTACTGCACCGACGCATAATCAAATCGCAAAGGTTCGATCGTCTTTAATGTCTCAGGTAGATATCAATTGAACTATGTGAATTACACCATACTTAAGACTTGTACACCAACATAGATTGACTGCTGCGTGGTATGAGTTAACAAAAAGACTCAGGAGCATAGCTATCCACTACTGTTTGAATCCATCGGTCCATTCGATGCAACTAAACTCACTCGGAATGGACCAGTTATCTCATCGTCAACGGATTTCAAATGCATCTTCATTAAGACCAATCTTACTCCAGAGAACAGCACTCTAGCGTAACCGTGGATTGTCTCTCACTTAAACCCCACTCGAGTGCAATCAAATCCAAACCTTTTATGCCTAAGCTGTATCATCAGGTCGACGTCGATGTTGATGAAAAACACTTTGCTGAATGTGTCACTTTATATGGTTCATCAGTAAATAACTTGAAATTTAAACCGACTGTCATTAAGCTTGATCACGCATCTCCGGAAGGTTAACTCTTGCGTTCGCACTGACGATATGGTAGCTCGATTTCAGGTAATCGCTCGCTTGTCATCGGATTCGCCGAGTTCTACCGTAACCAAAAGGCTTACACTGAACCTGGGTCACAGGGTAGCCATCAACGCGCATGAGGAACTCGACAATAAGCATTTTCCTAGATGTGTAACATTAAATGGTCTGTTGTTAATCCACACGCTGCTGCGCGAGTACAGCAGCCCAGAATCGACACAAAACCAGGCATCAACCACTGAGAGCTCAGGGACTGCGATTGAAGCAAGTTGCCAAACAAGAACTTACGCATCATCCACTAAAACCTCAGCAACCTGTTCATCAAAGCCGCATCGCGAAACTTACGTCGTGCAGTTCCCAATGTAAGCGAATGTTTAACGGACCCAATGTAACACCGAGCAAGGTATCACTTATGTCAGCAAAATAAAAGAGTATGGAACTGTCGGCTGCTTGCGAAACTAACTGCCTTCAATATCCTTGATAGAATTCTTAAGAAATAACCTTTCGCTACATTCAAAAACTGTACACCCTACGGTTCAATGGTTTACGCTACCTGCTCTTAAACATAGTTTCCCAAATTCCATACCCAATTGAAATGATTCTGGCTGAGATCAGCGACGAATGATGACTAGAACAGTATTGTAACCGCGTGGGGAACATAACACTATAACTGTTCAGGAAAAGATAAGCATTTTTAGGAAAACTATTATTTCAGCAATTAAGCGGTTGTTACAGCTTATCACACGAATTTCGAGCATTCTGTAATGTTCCACGGCTTGCATGTGACGACCAACCTCCCGAAAATAGCTTGGATCTATAGAGCACTACAACTTTTACAAGTCGAATTTCCTGTTCCAAAAGTTGAAGTTCGTAAACCGATCCGTAAATATGAGCAAGGTCTGGGCAACACCAAATTTCCATCTACTCTGAATACGGTCCCAGTGATCGCGGTGACTAAGGTTCATTTCAATGTGAATCACAGTCCAGTACATTGAGATTGCGTGTCGCAATCCAATCACACAACGTGTAGTCCAAACTTGACCCTCCAATTAGCAAGGTCTGCTACTTTTGCACAAAGTTTTTTGAAGGCGCTTAACACGTTATTTCGTCAAGGTTATTTGACTTCCCTCTGTTCGACTAGCGGACTTGTGGGGCACTTGCGTGTGTATTTCTACTCGCAACAAGCGAGAAGACCTAACAAGTAGTAACGGAGGAGACTTGGGACTTAATGAATTTTGCTGTTAATTATGTTCAGAAGCTGCTTCCCCAATAGTAATTTTAAATGGAAGATCAAATGAAAATAATTAAACAACTAGAGCGTCGTATATGCCTATAGTCAACAAGAGCAGCGATTTGGGACGCGCAGTCCACATCTGATGATCTTCTCATGAATGATATCAGTGAATTTAATTATACCGCAGATTCTTCATTCACTTTTGAAACGACGTTTGAAACTGAAATGGTATATTCCGGACGGGTTTCAGTCATCAGGACGATCCCTGGAAAGCACTATTACTGCTCTGCAAGCTCGGCACAAACGAACATTCGACGTTCGTCGATCACATTCTGCCCAAACAGCCGAAAGACCTGGCGTTCGACAATGTAGTGTCGCAGCTCATTAAAAGTTTTTGATGAGTCAACGTCTTTGTACAGTATCTGCAATCAAGTTACGAACGGGAAACCTATGATTTTGAGGCCCTAGCAGACATGGTCAACTGCTAGTGTGAGTGTAACAAGCTACGCTCCTTAACGGATGGTCAGTTGAAGTGTCTCATTTCTATCTGTGCTCCACAGTTCCGCCGTGCTGCTGAGATCCGCACGCGGCTTCTTACCGAGTTGGATCAGGATCCAGAGTTGACAGTAATGTCTCCAATAAGTGAATGCAAGCGTTTACTCATGATGAAACACGACACTGCTCTGAGCGAACAGAGTCGATCCGCACCAAGCGATACCGCTCACGCTGTGAAAAAGACAGGACTGCCATTCCAAGCGTACCGTTCAAGAGGTCTCCAAACCAACCACACACAGCATGCTGTTATTGCATCGAATGACATTTTGAACGATTCTTCCCATTCCAACGTCAGACTTGTGCTAAGTTCCGTAAGCGGGGCCATAAAAAAGAACTGTGCAGCCAGGCCCGGCCTAAGTACATGAAGAAGCGCTACCAAATCAAGAACTTTGGTGAGGTTGGCGTAAGTTGCCGTATTC